TTCTCTTTGGGTCAGCCCAGCCCCCCCCTTCCCATTTCCCTTTTGCAAACACCCTCCCTGCGGGGTAGACCAGCCCCCTTCCCCGTCCTTATGGGGTAGGCCCCGCCTCTTTCCCAGCCCCCCCCCAATTCCTCACCCTCCGAGGGGCGGCTTCCCTCTCTCTCTCTCTCTCTCTCTCCCCCCCTCCAACCGACGCCAAGGAAGACGCGCAAAGGACGGTGGGAAAAGGGGGCGGGGCAGAAAAGAAGGAAGGGCGAGGCCGGCCAGGCGATAGAGGTAGAGAAGAGAGCGCTCGCTCGCGGCGCACCGTCACTTCCGGTTCCTTTTGGAACCTCCACACACACGCACACACGCACACTCTCTCTCTCTCTCTCTCTCTCTCTCTCTCCCAGAAGAATAAAAAACAACAACCAGCAGCCTGATCCACGCGTGGCCTTTATGGACGCCTCCGTCTTTTTCTCCCCCATCGTTTCGCTGCCATTAAAATCACACGCAGCTCCCGTTGGCACGCAAGCCGTTGGCACGCTCCCTTTGCGCCGTTGCACTCGCTCCTAAGGAGGAAAAAACCCCAAACGTCCCGGTTCCCTCCGGTTCTTTCTTAGTTCCCCGGAGCTGCGGGCATGGGGGGAAAACTCTCGGAGCGGCTGTTGCACGATTAGCGTCTCCGTTTGGCGAGCTGGCACACCCCCTTTCCACGCTTTGCCCCGCACGATCGCTTGACAACCGGAAGCGCGCGCGTCGCTCGGTGAGGGAGGAAAGGCAAGTAAAGGCCGCACGGCCCCCTGCCGGCGGGAAAGGGGAATCCATCAATAAATAGCTGGTTGCTATGGTGATTCAGGCCTAGTCGCTCAGGCTTAAGCCTGCTTGCGAAGAGCAAAACAATAATAACAAACTCCCCTGGACTGTTTTATTTCATGCCCAGTCGTTGTTATATATACGGAAAACAATTGAGTCCCAAAGCCACGGAAATATATTGCAACTATGACAACCAACCTCTCTTGCGATTCAGAAAGAAGGTGCAGCCTTCTAGTATTGCTAAACTACAACTCCCAGCAGCGCCCGCTGCAAGCAAAGCATTCCAGAGGTGGCAGCACAACCACATCTGGAGAGCTGTTGGATCTCATTTTGCTAAGAAAACAAGTATGATGATGGTCATCCAAGGATCAGAAACATGGAAAGCGCCTTCAAGCATCCCGAAAAGGACTACAAGAATTGGGGAGGGGGCCAAGATTGGACTCTGGGGGATCCAGCTGTTGCACAGGGAGGGTGCCGAGAATGGAAGAGGATCTTTAGGGGCATATCGGTGGCCTTGAATGATAGCAAGTTAGAACATGTTAGCCAAGGTGGAATGGATCAAATTCTTTATTAGCATGCACGAAATGATCAAAAATTCAGGGGGATTTTACAAAATACTGAACTCCACCATTTCTCTCTTAGTCTACACTTAGCAGGTCAACAAACTCAAAAGGTTTTTTGCAACCCATATGCATTGTCCATCTCAACATGGTTCCTGAACCATTCCTTCCATCAAAACCACCAATCAAACCATCCCATGTGGGCCTTTCAAATTCTTCATCTTTGGTCATCAGAAAAATTGGGCGGTGATGAATTTTCTTATTTGCCTTTAGCTCTCTCTCCTCAAATTTTGCTCTTTTTTTCAATAAAGCGCAGCACTGGGTCAGGCAACTTCTGGATAATGGTAATTGTAGCAAACTGTAATTGAAACATGGTTTGTTGAAGGAAATTCAATGGCTGGATTCCTCCCACATATTTAGTGCAAGGCGGTTAAGCAAGAGAGTGAATAACACAAAACTATCTTACGAATTTTGGTCAGCAAATTAACTGCCTCTACCCACATTCCTAAACCTCTGGAGGACCACATAAAAACACATCTGCTTAACATTTCCCCTAGCCCCATATATATAAATACATATTTTCCTTCCCCAACACCACAATAAGATGGAAAAAAAAACAAGTTTAAGCAGATATTTATTTTTTATTTTACAGCATGCAAATACATTTCAAGTATTGCAAATAGATTCTATTAAGTCTCTCTTGAAACACTGGAAAAAAACAAACAAACAGACCACAATTAGCTAAAGTCTGTGACCAGCCTTAAAGCTAACAATCTCTATTTCAGTGCTACAGCAAACATACATGTATATACTATTCAGGCTAAATCACAAAGCCGGTTCCCATTTTTTCCAACTTTCCCTCCCAAAAATACAGACCGTATGGTCTAAACATCCCTGGTGTAAATCCTATTCCTCTAACACAAAAGGGAAAAAAAATAATGGTAATACAATTTGGAGATTTAAAACAGAACAAAATGGAATAGAATTCATTACCCCACCCTGAAATATAATCCCCATTTTGTTTTACAGATATTTTTTTAAATTATATTTTTAAATAGAAGCTGAGAATGCACCATTAAAAATGAGCATTAAATCCATCGTAGCGATGGAATCTGCTTTATTATATATGATGGGTGTACACCATCTTTATCTCATTTACATTTTAATCGAACAATAGATTTGCAAAGAAAATGTCTAATACAGACGTAAGAATATTCACACTTGAGCTTTACAAGCAGTTGTACAATTGACAAAAAAACTGGCCTCTTTTCCCAAACGTTCCAGATTAAGCAGGTTTATAAAATCTTAAATCAACTCAAGAAAAAAAAGTCTTTTTTTTCCCCCTCTTTCTTTTTAACTTTCAGGGAAAAGAATATATGCAGTATATAGTGTAAATGTGGAAAGTAGATACTGCATGCTAAATTACAATACTCCGGAGTGGCTGTACAGTTGGTCTGTGCAGTAGAAAATAAAGAACCACACGTGTTGTATCACAACTACAGTATAACGGATTTATCCACCTGAAAAAAAGAGAAATGCATGCATTTCCTATGCCTTGGACTAATTGACCGAGAATTCATTAGGGGAGGATTAAGATCTGTGCAAATGAGCTTTGTCCATGTGTCGGGCACTTGCAAGAGTTCTTTAATGTCAGATTTTTGTCAAGTACAATTAAAAAGCCCATCAAAGCTTTGCAAAAGCATAGTTGCGTGAATGTGCGTATAGAAAAATTTGGAGATTTAAAAATTTTGGAGGGTATTGTCACATACCCTTTTGACATCTCCTTACTGTAGGAGGTGAACAAGATATCCTGGTCTACAACCCCCTCAGCATATCTGACCAAAGCAAATACACATGTTGGCTGGGAATGATGGATTTTGCAGTCTAACACCTCTGAAAGGCACGAACCCACCAGGTACAATGGTGCTGGGACCCTCCCTGTGTAAAAGAAATAACTGAACATTGAAAGAGCTGGCGTTATTTGTCATCACGTTCGTAATTGATGACTCTAGTTCAGAGGTCTCCAAACTTGGCAACTTTAAGACTTATGGACTTCAACGGCCAGAATTCTCCAGCCAGCCTACCTTAAAGTTGCCCTCTGCTCTAGTCCTTAAGAGATGAGTCTTCCTAAATACAAGGTACATCAAAACAAACTTAAACCCTGGGGAGTGCGTAGCTCTCATTCTGCAAAGATGTTCTTTGCAGAGTTTAACTCTGAATTCACGAGATAATAAATACTGGAAAAACATACTTGCTGACAAAAAAAAACAAAAACAAAAACCCAGGTTAAAAAAACGGGCAGCCCCTTTATTTTCTGATTGCATTGTGCAGAACCTAGCCGGCACTGCAGACCAAGCACTGCAAAAACCCTATGATTATTTATTTAAGACGACCTTCACAAGTGGTCTGGATTTCTGTTTTTTGTTTTTTAATAAAAAAAAGCTTATCCTCCATTCCTTTGGCTGTTGTGCATTTGCCAGGTGCCCTCTACCTCTCTCCTTTATGTGTCCATACACGTCTGAACTGCTTCTCTGGGCAAATTAAAAAAATCCAGCAGGGATGATATATCTGCCGGTTGCAAGAGTGTGTTGAAGCACGGCTCAGTCACTCACTGCTAATGGAAAACCTGAGCAGGAGATGCCCTGTAGGTAGCCGTCTACTGAAGTATGGCACCAAACAGTTTTGGCAATGCCAAACTTCTCCTTCGACGCTCTAAGGTCTTTACAATACTGATTCTCCCCTTAAGTCTGGGCCAATACAAACAGTGGCCATCCCTCTGCCTTGTTCAAACTCTGCTTAACTGAAGGGCTGAATCAGAAGAAAGGCAAATAAACCGATTTCAACTCTTTTCTGCTCCTACAGTACACGCGTGCATGTGTGTGGACCTGAGAGCCAACATTTCTCCTTCATTTCTCAGTAACAGGGCTACTTCAAGGAGTTGGGTCTTTTTTCCTCCTGGCTTTTCTCACCTAGTTCTGCAAACTCAAGAGCCTTAAAACAGACCCCGCTTCTCATCTGGCTGCCCCCGCTCTGCCTGCAAAAAGAGAATAAAACAACTGGAGATGCTATTAAGTCACAATCGAAAAAAACAAAACAAAACACAGTATCATTGTAAGATGCCAAGGCCGAGTAGAAAAAGCTGGCGTGGAAGATTGGGGCCCTTGCTCAGACTTTAGCTGTTTTCTTTGATCTGCAATTCTCCCCGCCATTGGTTTTTTTTTTTTAAATCAAGTTCCTATCAGGCGGGCGAGTCCCTTGCTTGCTCCAAACTATTTTTTTTTTAATAAAAAAGTATATCTTAGATATCTTAGAAAGAAACCCAGCTGAACCGGAGCTTTCTGACTCTGATGCACCAGAGAAAGAGACATGGTATGTAAACAATAAATTGCAAAACAGCCAAGTCCTGAGAAAGAAAACATACTTCATTAAAAAGCAACCTATGAAAATCAAAACATGTTAAGAACTAAAATACAGACAATCTGCCCAGGTAATGAACATTTGATCTTTAGACTCTGCTGACAAAGGGCTATTTCCCTTGGGACAAAAATAAGGATCTCTCCAACCTCTCTCTTCTTCTATTTTAATAATAAAATAGCAATGGAGCTTTTTTTTCTCCTTCTCTTTTTGGAAAAATCATTTTGCCTTCAGTGGGGAAGATCCCATTGAGGAAGTATCCACATAGGAATGAGATAGTTTTGCATATCTCTCTATCAGGATTCTAGAGTCCAAGGTCCAGAACAGCACAAAGAAAATTTCCGGAAGCATTTCAAATGTCATAAATATATATATATATAAATCCATATATACAAGAATCGCTTGGCTAAATTGAGAATTTGGCCATTAGATGTTTAACAGTCACCAGGTAAAGTGAAGAGATACATAACAAAAACCTTGATTTTTCAGTTCCCTTCAATTTAAGAGCCACAGTAGAAAGGAAAATTTTGGGAACTGGGAGGAAACCATGAAAAAGAAATTTGGCTGCTATAGAAATAGCTTTTTGCACCTCACTATTAAATTAGCAGATTAAAAAAAAAATCTTTTCACAACATTGCTGGAATTATCAAAACAATTAGTCCTTGTATTTTTTCAATCCATATGTACAACGTAATTTTTCGAACGACACGTAGCTCAGAAGTGAGATTTTGTTTTTACCAATGATCCAAGTTAGAGCTGTAGCCCTCAGAGAAATGCCATAATGTTGTACGTGTAAAAACCATTGTGATACTATAATGTAATACCAGCTTTATTGTGCCAACATGATCTTTTTTAAATGTTTTCTTTTGACACCCATTGGATAAAAGGATGAGCCCTTGTGTATAACACACACACCCTCGTGAAAGGGCTGCTTGGCTAAAATATTCCAGTATGATTTCCAGAGTAAACAACTTCACAGAAGTTAATTAACAAACATTTTCCTAAACCAAACCAAACCAAGCACAAAACAAAAAGAAAAAGGAAGAAAAAAAATGTAAAAATTATAAAAAGAAGCTGCCGAGGAGGACCAATAGAAAGAATGTTCTTGCCTGATAGCTTAGTATCTTCTTGCTCAGCCTGATTTTTTTAAAGAGGGGAAAAAACCACAGCAAAAGAGGTCATGGGGGAGAATGGTCCAATTTTAAGAGTTCTAAGGTTTAAAAAAAAAAAATTCACATTTTAAAGAGGACTTATTTTTCGCCCTGTTCTGTACAAGCGCAGCTCAAGCTACCTCATGAAGTCTTCAAGATATCATCGGAGTTTAAATCACCCACAAATCTAAATGCTGCCATTCTCAGCCAACTCAATATCGGGAGCGTCCCAAGGGCCGTGGGGTTCGACCTGCGTCAATTTTGCGGAGGAGAATTGGGGAGGCATTGAATGCCAAGTGGGGAGACGGTCGACGGGGGGGATAAGGGATGAAGCGTTTTCTTGCCACGTGTGGGCTGAGCTGTCACGGAATGTTGTGATTCTGTTTACCACTTTAGGCAAGAAAGAACCAAGGACGTAAGTGGAAATACCCAGGTGCCTTCGTTTGGCTTTGTTGCCGATAAATTTGTGTACAGGAAAGTCACTCGAGAAGAGGGAAGCTGTAGGGCAGGGTTGGAAGAAGTGACCCACAGAGGAACCAGTTGCAAAGCTTTTAACACCTTGAACTAATAAGGGCCTTGGGTGGGGCTCGTCCTCACGCCCTCTCTTTCCTCACAAACGCTTCTCCCCGCAAAACCCCACCGTTGAAGAAACAAGCAACCTCAAAGGAGTGCAAATTCCTTCCTCTTGAAACAAGGACCGCAAAGCAACGTTAACCGGGCTCCTGTGAGCCACAACGTGCCCCTGAAATGACTGGCTTTAGTTTTGGATGCTTCTTTCGCAAAAGGCACCGCAAAATAAGAATGACTTGGGATGTGTGTGTGTGTGCGCGTGTGTGTCTACAACCTCACTGTGAAGGGGAAACGGCTGGTGCGTGGAAAGTGAACGTCGGAACCAGGCAAAGTTGCTGGCTCCGTCACCTCTCTCTTGCGTTACCCCGAAAGCTAAGACACGAGAAGGGTTTGAGGTATCAAACAAACGTCCGCAGGAAACAAATGGCCCCGATAGGATTTTCTTTCCAAAAAAAGAGAAAGAGAGAGAGAGAAAGAGAGAGAGAGAGACAGAGAAAGAAACCAAAACAAAGTTAAACCGCTTCTGGGTACTGTCGTCAGCCTGAGAGCCAAGCGCTTCTCACGTGTTCACCATTTTGCTGTTGGCAATCGGCCTCAAAAAGTCACTTTGCCCTTCCACGAGGCCGTGGGCTGTTTTGAGGAGAAGGCTGTGCATGCCGGCTGACGTCGTCATGAGAGGCAGAGAGATCCTGCTGCCTGTGGAGGACTCCGTCGGTTGGCTGAAACAGGCCGCGGCCGGCAAGACTCCCTTCCGCTTCTCCCTTGGTGGGTGGGGAAAAAAGAAAGAAAACCGGGTCACAGAAGCATCCCTACCTGCCCAGGAAGCTTATTTACCTGGGTTCCATAAAGAGGAAAGAAGAGTTATCAATTCCTAGAGAGGTCTTCTGCTAGCAGAGGTAGGCAGATGACTGGAAGCCTTACAAGCACTAAATGAAGACGTCTCTGGAGACCCTCCGTCCTCCAGGTCATGGTTGTCCCAAAGGTGGTTTTTCAAGAGGCAACTTGGACTTTCTGTTTTTTTTTTTTTTCTTTGAAGACGTTTCGCTTCTCATCCAAGAAGCTTCTTCCGCTCATGAAGAAACTTCTTGGATGAGAAGCGAAACGTTTTTTTTTAAAAAAACCAGAAAGTCCAGTTGCCTCTTGAAAAAAAAGCAACTTTTTCTAACTATTAAATGAAGAACTATTAGATGAAGAGTTTTTAGATGGTCTGGAGACCGTCGGACGTGAACACGATGAAGTAAAGACTTCTGCAAATATACGTGTGTGTGTGTGTGTGTATGTGTGTATATATATATATATGAAAACCCGAACAACCAAAGATCCACATACAAATACCCGCGAGAACCTCAGAAAACAAACATATATATATATGTAGCTTCTCTACAAAACTATGTGGCTGGGCTTAGTTTTGGGGGAGGAAAATAAAGAAAATTAAAATTCTGCCTCTGCATCCATCGGTATTCTTTTGCCTAGCGTCCTTTCAGTGTGTGAGAGTTGAGGGCTGTTTGGAAACTGAAGCAGTATTTGCTGTGTGCGCAAAAAGGAGACAGCAAGGAGCCTGGGCGTGGCTTAGCTCAACTATTCTGTACTAAAGCTGCTTGGTGCTCTGAAACTGAAACTCCTCTGCTTGTGTTTTGCATTTGGAAGGTTTTTTTTTTAGATGGGCGGGGGAGTAGAACTCCTTAACATCAGAGCGTGTTAATAATAATAATATAAGGTATACTAGTGCTCTGATGGTCATTTCGAAGAATCCTTTGTTAGTGAGCCCCTAGAAGTCAAGAGGAACATACATGTCAAATTTCAAGTTTGTAGGCTTTATGGTTCTGGAGATTTTGTGATGATGCGTGAGTAGTAATTTCACTTTTATATGTGTAGATGGGGCAAATGTCCTCAGATTCTCAATCATCCAGGTCATGGCTGTCCCAAAGATTCTTTTTCAAACTGCACTTCCTTGAGTTTTTTTCCTTTCCTTGAAAACATTTCGCTTCTCATCCCAGAAGCTTCTTCAGTTCTGAACCGAGGAAGCTTCTTGAATTCGAAGGGAAATGTTTTCAAGGAAAAACAAACTAAGGAAGCCCAGTTCTCTTTTGGGAAAACTGAGGGAAACTGAGGCCTTGAGCTAGACTGGACCCACACTCACAAAAGAGCAAGCCCTTCGTGCAGGAGAGGCCTCTTTGCCTGCCTGGTGTCCACTGGGGCCTGCTCCACAGGGTGGCCGTTCTCCAGAGCTGACCCACCGAAGAGGTTACCGTTCTGATCATTAGCGCCAAGCTGCAGGCTCAGCATCTCCTAGAACAGGGAGGAAAAGGACAATTATTTGTAGGAGGTTTTTAATATGAGGTTTTGCTTTGATAGCGTTGCTTTATTTGATTCTTATAAGCTGCCCCAGAGTTACTTCTTGTGGGGGTGCAGTGGTTAGAATGCAGCATTGCAGGCTAATTCTGCTGACTGACGACTGCTGGCAGTTCAACTCTCACCGGCTCAAGGTTGACTCAGCCTTCCGTCCTTCCCAGGTGGGTAAAATGAGGACCCAGATTGTTGGGGG